TTTTGTCTCATTCCATGGTAACGAAATTGATTGTTCACCAATGCTTGCAGGAAACAGATATGAACGACAACATTGTTACCATATCAAACTCCTTGGTTTGTACACACCTTCATCAGCGGAGATTGACACGTCGTCGATGGCAATGTCCGATCGAAACGAGTTTGCACTCGCTTCAAATGCTATCCGAAATTCCGATGACAGGTTTGATAACGCTATTTTTGCCTTCAGCCATGTCGTCCCATCTGTTTGCTGACCATCACGTGAAAAGATGAGTATCCCCTCGCTGATGTTACCGCCAACTGCCGTCCTGTACACATTTAGGGTACCTGCAAATGTGATGAACAGCTACAAAATTTTTTTACATTATCTGTAAGATAGTGTGAATTCATTATTTTTCAAGATTGAAGTGAACTGCCAGCGAACTCCGTCGTGGGCAATGTGCATGTTATCCTAGCTACATTTGTTGTGGTTAGGACTTACCCGATCCACTTCCAAACATGTTATACCAAAAACTTAATGATCTGTTGTAGCTGAACCTGTTGGTTACAACAGGGCTTATGATAACAGCTCTTAATTCCTCTGCCTGATCTGCTTCGAGAAATAGGTATGTTCCATTCGGTGCTGTAGGACAAAACAAATGTAAGAAAGAGGGAATCCGTAAATTCTCTGCAATCGAAAATTATAATGTTTCATTGACGAAGCAGTTTAATCTGATGCACGCACAATTTCCATTTAACTGTGCATATACTGAAAAGAAACTCAAAATGTTAAGTCACCTCATGAAAAAGGGTCTTTGATTATTTATTCAGTATGTTTTGAAACCTGTGAAAACTTCATATTGAAAAAAGATACTTGAATGAGAGCCTGTTTACCGCCGAATGTGTGATCATATTCGGGCCCTGTGTTGGCTGAATACGTATCTCCGCGCTCCAATGCCCAGTTAGCTCCGTCGTCACTAAATTGTATCCATCCGCAATAGCCTCCCTCAAAGTCACAGTCAAAACCTACACTTGTGTCTGGAAAATACAAACAATTGATGATCGCACACATCACACTTCGTTAAAAGTTTTTCCACCTCATATGAAAGAAATTACCAGAAATTTAAACCCTGCGTAAACACTGCAATACCGCTTTGACTGTCGGATAGAATTGTCCAGCACCGTGTTAGTCTCGTTGATCTACGGGCAGTTTGTCTTAAAAGCATTAAGTCCTGTTCATGCCTTCTAAAGGCCGGCTCATATTTGAAACGAATGCGAAAGCGAAGCCAATTTGACGCCAAGAAAGATATATTTGCAGTGCAATTTTGTTCGTCTATAGTAAAGATTGCGGTAACACCATGTATTTATCTCTTCTTTGAGTATGTGTGGTTCTGAGAAGAACCGGGAAATAACTCGACGTTTCGAACAGTGTACTCTGTCAGTCTTCAGGAGAACCANCTTTGTCTCATTCCATGGTAACGAAATAGATTGTTCACCAATGCTTGCAGGAAACAGATATGAACGACAACATTATTACCATATCAAACTCCTTGGTTTGTACACACCTTCATCAGCAGAGATTGACACGTCGTCGATGGCAATGTCCGATCGAAACGAGTTTGCACTCGCTTCAAATGCTATCCGAAATTCCGATGACAGGTTTGATAACGCTATTTTCGCCTTCAGCCATGTCGTCCCATCTGTTTGCTGACCATCACGTGAAAAGATGAGTATCCCCTCGCTGATGTTACCGCCAACTGCCGTCCTGTACACATTTAGGGTACCTGCAAATGTTTTTTACATTATCTGTAAGATAGTGTGAATTCATTATTTTTCAAGATTGAAGTGAACTGCCAGCGAACTCCGTCGTGGGCAATGTGCATGTTATCCTAGCTACATTTGTTGTGGTTAGGACTTACCCGATCCACTTCCAAACATGTTATACCAAAAACTTAATGACCTGTTGTAGCTGAACTTGTTGGTTACAACAGGGCTTATGATAACAGCTCTTAATTCCTCTGCCTGATCTGCTTCGAGAAATAGGTATGTTCCATTCGGCGCTGTAGGACAAAACAAATTTTAAAAAGAGGGAATCCGTAAATTCTCTGCAATCGAAAAGCATAATGTTTCATTGACTGTGCATATACTGAAAAGAAACTCAAAATGTTAAGTCACCTCATGAAAAAGGGTCTTTGATTATTTATTCAGTATGTTTTGAAACCTATGAAAACTTCATACTGAAAAAAGATACTTGAATGAGAGCTTGTTTACCGCCGAATGTGTGATCATATTCGGGCCCTGTGTTGGCTGAATACGTATCTCCGCGCTCCAATGCCCAGTTAGCTCCGTCGTCACTAAATTGTATCCATCCGCAATAGCCTCCCTCAAAGTCACAGTCAAAACCTACACTTGTGTCTGGTAAATACAAACAATTGATGATCGCACACATCACACTTCGTTAAAAGTTTTTCCACCTCATATGAAAGAAATTACCAGAAATTTAAACCCTGCGTAAACACTGCAATACCGCTTTGACTGCAGGATAGAATTGTCCAGCACCGTGTTAGTCTCGTTGATCTACGGGCAGTTTGTCTTAAAAGCAGTTAGTCCTGTTCATGCCTTCTAAAGGCCGGCTCATATTTGAAACGAATGCGAAAGCGAAGCAAATTTGACGCCAAAAAAGATATATTTGCAGTGCAATTTTGTTCGTGTTAAAATGTGCTCAATTTTGGCGAATTCGTATTGCAATTATTTGATCTGACGTCACCGTGTTTGCTTTCGCTCGAGGTATGAACTGGCCTTAAAAGTATATCTACGAATTCTGTTTACCATTTTCGAAGTCTTTTTGTGGCAGTCTTATTTCACTTCGCCTTTCCATTCTATTCAGCTTTACGGCTGCAAGTGTGCCGAAATAAACCGAAGTAAACAGAGACGAATACAGATCTTAAGCTTATCCAGATCTTACAGCTTAATCCATTCAAAGAGAGTAAATGAAGAACCGAATAATGCCCTGACTTACCTCTAGGACATTCTCCTTGAAATATTGTCACATCATCAAAAGCGATATCGCTTGCATGTCCACTTCCCCGAATCGCCTCTATAGCTATTGTGAAGTCAGTACTTTGATTTCTGATTTCAATCTTTGCTTGTAACCATACCCTCCTTCCCGTATGTTGGCCGCTGATAACTATCACTGGTTCCCGTGTACTAAATGCATAAACCTCGCTTGAAGGATACGCATATGCTCTCAGGGAATCTGGTATATATGAGAAAATTACATTGCCATAAGAAAAATTTTTTTTAAGCATTTAAGCCAGGGTTTAAACAGGTATGTAACATCGCTTTCCCCCAACAAAGAGATGTACAATTGTTTCCACACCATGTATAGATAACATAACCCATCACATTGAGGTCGCGTCTTCCCAAGATACTTCGGAACTCTGGAAACAGAGCATGTGCAGTTTGAAGAAAGCATCACTGAATCGCGTGATAGGACTGCGGAATAGATATGAACAATTTTGTAAATGGTTTTCTGGCTTTGTGAGAATTTGAAGGCTAAAATACAAAATAGTTACTCTACCAATTTCCTGGCCGTACATGTTGTACCAAAGACTGAAGCACCAAATATCCTGCTGACTAAGCCTCACCGTTACCACTGGGCTGAGGAGAACAGCTTTATCACCGGCTGAATATTCGGTAGCTTCGGCATAGTAATATAGGCCCATTAAATCTCAAAGGAAAAGAAAAGAACTAATATTAACATTTGTCCATTTTCTGAAATCTTGCAGGTCCAATTGTGTGGACTTGAAACTTACCGAAACCAGGCTACATATTCAGATTTACGGATAATATTGGCAGATTCTTCACTGGTGCTATGGCGGATTAAGTCACAAAAATGTTGATAAGTTAAAAAAGTTGTCGCAATTTATTACCATTTGTGGTATGGTCAAATTCAGGTCCTGTGTGACGCGAGCTGGTATGTCCACGTTCCAACACCCAGTTGTAGTCATCGTCAACAGACTGGATCCACCCACACGGCCCGTCATCAAAACTACAGTCAAAACTTAAAACATCTGCAACAGAGAACAATGCCTCCAGCGTTAATATCGAGAAAACACGTAATACATACATGTTTCTGATAATTTTGGTGCAGAGGGTACGTATCACAATGACGTTTACATTCATAATCAGTTTACCAAAACTTGAAGAACCACCACAGTATGCAAAATATGTCGTAAAACCGTCAGGTAGACAACAAAACATGGACGCAATTCGATTGCTCTAATTCCCTGTTTAAATTTTGCGTATGTTGGTCTTTGTTGCTGATTATATCTTGGAAATCCAATCTTCTTTGGAAAGAACAAACGTTGGTTTCTACATGAGATTCATAACTTTTATAATTCGTTTGTTTTCTTTTGAAGTGTTCAGAATGAAAATAGGCCTAGTCTGATATTGGAGACTTTGAAAAACGTACCGGGACAAGAATCTTGTTGAAGTTCGACGTCATCAATCGCAATATCACCTCGATGTCCATCCTTATCGATAAATTCCAATGCCACCGTGAAAATGGATGCTCGATTGGAAATATCGACTGAGGCTTGGACCCACGTGCGCTGACCAGTCTGTTGACCGGACAAACTAAACATGGGAAGTTTAGTCGTCAAATTATGGCCAGTTTGGGTCGAATATGCAAACACACGGAGAGATCCTTCAAAAAATACAAAAGCCGGAATCGCATTTGTCAAAAGGTGTTCAATAAAGCAACCAGGCACCTATCATAGGTGATCAAATAAGTTAATGTGAACTGGCTCAGTTCCCTGGCATGCATATCTGCGTGTTTACAGCGGAGTGATGGAGTGATATTCTGAACGTTTTGAAAAAAAATCTTTACACCAAACATCACTTGAATTGTTTTATACACTTAGCTCTTTATTGTTCCGGGGATCGTCGTCGAAATAAAAAATTATCACTGGTCCATTTGGTGGAAAAGACTCAGATACGGCTGGGCGCTTCTGGCGGCTAGGGCCAAGATTACGAAGGAGTGGCGACTGCTTATCCCTATTTGGCTTCCGAACATGCTCACCTATTTGACTTCCGAACATGTTATACCAGAAACTAAAGCACCATCTGGAACGTTCGTGTGACCTTTGAACCGGAGGGCTCAAAAGAACTGCCCGACTTCCTCCTGCTTTTCTAGATGATTCCAGGTAGACATACGCTCCACTCTCATCTGCTGTGCATAAGTTCCAAGAAAAAACAAACAAACCATGAATGATTTAAAAGCAGATTTTATCCGTTGCATCTCATGAGATCACTAGATAGGGAGGTAAGTCTTGGGACACTAAACAGAGGTTGTACATTATCTGACCTGACCAAAGACTCGATTGTTCCCTGTCAAAAATTAGTTATTATTATATATTTAAATCCAAACAGAAAGATAGATGTATACGTACCTCCAAAGGTATGATCGAATAGTGGACCTGTTTCACTTGATGGGGATTTCCCAACACCCAAATCCAAATTGTAATCGTCAAGTGTTGACTGCGTCCAGCCACAAAGACTTGAGCTTTCAAAGGTACAGTTGAAATCTGCATAATTAGCAGCAAACTAAAAAAATGCTCAACAAGAATAACTCCTTAACGTAACAGCTGCCCTAGATCATACTATAATAAGCAGGGAGTGGGATTATGAATATGCGATTTTTTTTATTTCAGGTGTTTGTCTCTTTTGGGTTTACTATGAACTGATCGGTGTCATCTGAACCTTCTTGATAGAAGGAAGAAATTCCCTATCGCTGTCCGGAGAAGCTTTGGTTCTTTTCACTTTCTGTGCGTTATTTTTTTGTTTATAAAGTTACATTTTTGAGAATGATGACTGTAATAGTTTACGCAACAGAGAGTGAAGGAATGTTTTGAGTGGCACAGAATCCCCTAACATTAAAAAACCTACCCTGAGATTTGTCAAGTGTTACCCCAGCAAGGAGATAAACTGCAACGACCAAAACTTCCGATGACGGCATGGTCCTCACTTAAGTTCGCAACCTAAATGAACAATTAATTACAGTTACTTTTTTCATAAATGTTCATGCCATCAAGAATTTCACATGCTAACTGGGAGGTCCTATAGAACGGCTCATGGGGTGGGGGAGAGATTGATGAATGACTTCCTCATTAAGCTTGGAGCCAAACCGAGGACAATATGCCAGGCGGCGTTCACACCGGGTGAATGTTGTACTGCAGCTAAATTCTAGATCTGGAATTTATTTTGGGTCCCTGCTAGCATCGTGATCCGCCATCTTATTGAACAATTTTGAGTATGTGTGAGTAACGTCAGCAAAATGACTCAGAGTCTCATTAATTAACCCTGTCAACTTATAGGACTCAGTTCAATCCAACTAAGGCAAGGTATATAACACAAAATTGAACGTTTGAACAAGTTAAACACATAAGCCTACTAGTTCTTATAAGTTTTAAAACAATAGAATCTTCTGATTTCTTTTAATTCAGTTACTTTCCATGTAAATTGGCTCACTACGTGGTTCCACTTGTTTGATGAGTGTCGATTTATAGAGGGTTACTGGGACAGAAGCATTAAGCGCTACATACCCTCATTTCACCACAGAGAGATTGTCAGGCCTTGCCGAACCCGTTCCCCGGTCAACATCTATGCTATGAGTACAACACCAACAGGCAAACTGACCGAACCATTGTATCACCATGGACTCGCAATTCAAGTAACATAAACTTCGCTTTTTAGCTTCAGGCGATCTCACTCATCGGCTGTCTAACAGAGGTCACAGCTCCACCTGTCGTCCTTGTGCTCGCGCAGTGTATTGACCAATCTGCTAATGGTCTGCGAAGCGTGACGCGGGTCACAATTGGGCTGGACCAGACCTCCATGGGTGGAAAACTCGATGCTTAATTCCCACATAGTGACAACGGTGTCCATCCTTTCATAGAGGTCACGCCTCGATTAGAATCTTGTATGGACAATGCACTCAGCAAATCAGGCTGCTACAGCTTTGAAAGTCCATCATGTACATGTACATGTGCATGTACGACTCTCAGTGCTAGGCGACAGGCTTTGAGGTACAACCGACTACTCCCCCCCCCCGATCACTGGTTTCTTCAGTTTCTCTACAACAATGTGGTGCTTAGCAACCGTCCTTCAGTATACCTCCACAGTATACTGTATGCCCAGTACGTAAATTGTGCACATCGTGTAGGCTACAAGAAATCATATACACTATACATTGTGCCGGGGTCCTAACTGATAAGGAACACTGAGGTTGCGTTGCCATTGGCTTGAAGTTTGGACTCTGTGCCGCACACATCTGGGGTGGACGCAATACGGCTACCTAAAAGCTTCATTTCCTGGCCGGGGGAAGGGATCAGAAGGTTTTTTTCCATCGGATAAAAATTAATACTTCCCATTAGTTATCGGCAATAAAACGATTTCTAGAGGGCGCCCCGTAAAGTGCTAAAACTATAACCTCGTCGTAACGTTATGACACGTACATGCCTAGCCTGTACATGGAAATGTATATGTACAGTGTACTACATATACACTGTACTGTATGCATACACACCACGAGTTTCATCACTTGACTTGTCAAACGTGCACTGGCCACAATGGCCTTGACAATCCCGTGACACGGCATTACTTAGCAGCCTTGCATTCAGTGCAAAAGTAATCCAAGTTCCAGAGGCAGGGGTCAAGTGAGTGAGAGACTCCATGGTCTGTTTTATGACGTCACCATTTTACGACATAATTCAGTTGTATTCGTTTAATTTATTTCACTGTGTGTGCGTGTCGAAACCAGTCAACTTGCTCCTTGCACACATCGGACTGCAGCTGGATCCTGATTCAACAGCACTGTGTTTGCGTCTTCTAGATTTCCACCGCAGAGGTAGGTAGGTAGATATTGTAGGTCCTTTTTTTGCATTTTATCATGAAAAGAGTTAGAATGCGCTCCTCTAAATCTTCGTTCAGATTTCAGGAACCCTCTTTTTGACCACACAATTCACAGTTTACATGTAGGCTTAGGCTATGAAGTATGATGCTGTTTGAATAACCCCATCCCTAGTTTTTCCTACCATTCCTTCCTCCATGTTCCTACTACCTGTTGCCTACATCATGATGTATTATACTATTGATCATGACATCTGGTTTTTTTTTGTGAGTGGAAATTTACGTTTTTCAGATGTCATGAGTCATTGGTTGTACTTGTAGACATACTGAAGCAATGGTTAGTCAGTACATAGAGCTCTGTGGTCAGCCTAGTTCTATGCTTCTGATCCAGCAGTAATTACCATACTTCTGCTGGTACTTTTTATGGTGGGCCTATTCAGCAGAAATTAACCATTATCATGTGTTCCATGCTCCATGAACATATGGAGGGTTTAGTAACATATGGCAGGAATCACCAGAAGACTAGTTCAATTGTAGTCTATTCCTTGAGGGTTGATGCACCAAATAATGTGTAGGCCACTGTACTGTGTACTAGCGGAGGGGTTAGACATGTTAGACTCTTAGAGGCTAGAGCAGCAACAACATGTAGTAACCTGCTGAGTGAATTGAACTTTAATGTGATGAAGTACATGGACTGGTACCTGTGAACTTATGATGTTTTGTCACAGATAGGCATTAATGTAACAGGCATACATGCTGTGGTGATCACTGCATTGTACAGAAAAGGACATAAATAATCATGTTCTTTTGCCCTCTCGTCACCCTGTAGATTTCATCACTAACAGCCATGGGTAACTGGTTCTCTCCGATCCCTGATGTCCCTTTGGATTCTCCCGAAGGCAAGCTGGTGGAGCAAATCCTCCATGATAAGATTGTTGTGGTCTTCTCTAAGACGTATTGTCCTTACTGCACAATGGCAAAGAATGCTCTGGATGAACACAATGCAAACTATGAAACGGTAGAGCTGGACAAGAGAGAAGATGGCAAACGCATACAGAGTGTGCTGGGAAAGATGACAGGGGCAATGACTGTAAGTACTCTGTGCTGTTTAAGCTAGATAAACCCACTAAAGGGATGCAGAGAGCATACAGAAATGACTTCATCCTCTGGAAACAAACGACTAAGCATAAAACTGTGCCAACAGAGAAACAGGTTACCAGCTCAATTGTAATGCAGTGTGTATAATTGGTGACTGATACTCTGCTTATTTGCGGCAACTTGCATGTAAAATTGGCCAGAGTGTAATGAGTCACATTTTATGTACACAAATTAAAAACAAATTAACAGTGAGAGATTTAAAGACAGCAAGGATGTAAAACCTCGAGTGGAACAATTCAAATTTGACATACGAGCATAAAAATAATGTTGGTTCTTCTGTTTTTAAGAGAGTGAGATTTGAGAGATTTTGGAAGGTTGCTGATCAAAATGTTAAGAGGTTGGAGAGTGAATACACAGCTTACAAGAACCCTACTTGATATTGTGACAGGTTCCACAGGTGTTCATCAAGGGTAAGTTTATTGGCGGAGGTACAGAGGTCAAGCAACTGAACGATGAAGGGAAACTGGAGGAAATGCTGCGAGAAGCTGGGGCCATTTAAGAAGTTGAACCCAGATATAGTGTGAAGTTGGAATTGTAATGATAGTGATTGAAAAGCTAACGGTTCAGCTGTGGAGTCAAACTCAACAATGGTCTTCCTAAACTTACATTACCCAAAACATCATGTTGTATCTGATGTTGTATTACTTAATTTTTAAAAATTAATGTTAATGTTTATGTCTAGGGAGGAATACAGAAATTGATGTTACTATGTGCAAAACAATGTTCCAACACGTACAGGAATTTTATTCAGAACTTCAGATATGAATATTCATGAATTTGTAACCTGACATACAACCAAGCATCCTACGTTTACATTGATGTGTTTTCCAAATGTCTCAGGGAGGAGATCCCAGCCTGCAAATTGCATGCAAACAAAGGAAATTATTTAGCCATGAGCCTATACCAAAGCACATACAGTGTACAATGGATCAGTCTCTGCTGATTGCATAATGTGGGCATCCATTATAACCCTCACCCTGGAAATAGTTGTGTGTATTGAACTGGTACTTTCATTTCAAACAAGTTCAGTGCATGTACATGAATATGAAGTTCATAAACAACTTGGTTGAAGCTGTTTGCCTGTAGGTTCCAGATTTGATTCACTTATTAGGGTTTCATTGTTATTTTGAGTATACAAAAATTTACAACTCTGTCATTATCTCTCAATTTCACTTTCAAAAGCAATTTCAAAAGCTTGCATCCTTTTTTTTGTTGAATAAAACATACTCCCTTTTCAACATAGTCATTTGGGAAACATACATGTACATGTACACATTGGACAGACATTCACAGGACTGTGTGACAGGTATATGTGTAACACAATGGAGATGTGACAGGTTTGTACTTTATATGCGGCTTATGGACCCTTTTTTACTGACAGAAAATTGTAGCTTTCTTGACATTATACTTAAGTACAAGTAACTGTTGTCTGTAATGTAATTAATATGAACTATGTGGTCAGTATCCAAAATGTTATACATACTGCATTTTAATAGTAGTTCCCCTTTGCAAGAACAAAGTTCTTACTTTTGCCACTCATGTCGCAATGAATAGTCATTTTTAAAGGGTAGCTGCAATCAATGGTTTTTATTGCAAACCTGTAAATGCCCCTTTGTGCATCAGTAAACCCTTTTTTCAACTTTGGTTTCACTGTTTCAAAAGGTATTTTCATGCCTTTGTTTTTTGTGCTGATAAGTATTTCCATATTCATGAGCAAAACTGTGATGTCATCTCAGGAAGAAGCCGCAATGTTACATTGATTTGTATACAAAAAGTCCTGCGTTTTTTTTTAGATTTTCCTTGATTAAGTTTTCTCGTTTTTTCTGTTTCATTGTTGTTTATGTTTATATCAACAAGAAACCATCAATTCCTCTCTCAGAAATGCTTTCATTTCAGTTAGTAAAATCTGGGTTTACAATTTGAACAGACAGACCTACATGTATGCACGAAACCATGCCTTTCCTAGATGACTTCACAGCAACAATGCCCTCAGTTGTCCCAGAAAACACAGATAATTTTGAATGCTTTTAAAAGTGTGCACTTTTCAGTGCATTTAACCAAAAGTGAGTGTGTAAGAGTTTTCATGCATCAAAGAAAAGTACACAGATGCACAAAAATTGTGTCAAAGAAAATTTCATTGCAGCCACACTTTAATTGAAATTGTATTCCCATTGTATATTTTTGAAGGCTACATGAATTTTAAGACTTTGGCATCATTAATTTCTTGTACATGTATATGTACAGTGCCTTGATTGTGACATCTGTATTGCTATGAAGCATTCAGGGGGACTCGAGTTCTATGGAGAAATTAGATGAACTCAGTCTTATTTAAACCCAAATTTTGATCTTTTCCAACATTAACCAGAAAAGAAAATTGAAGTCAGTGTCTAGTTTTTAAGTGAAAAGGAATAGGCCAGAATACTTCAGATTATAGTTTTAGCTTTTGCAACATAGTTCTTGCATGTCAAGATGTACTCTGCGTTCGGGAGATGCTAATTGTGAAGAAAATTCTCAAGCTTACTTGATGGGATTCGAACTTAGGACCTCCTGCGTACTGGTGTAGACGTCTTAACTAATCGACCACTGAGCTTGCTGGGGTCAGCTGACCAGTCCGAGTCAGATGTAGCAGCAAAGTACCGTGAACTATTTCAAGATGTTCTTGTGTTTGATATGCTTTGGTTAAGTATTGGACAATTTCATTTCAAAGACACTGCTTGAATTTCACACATTAAAAACCATTTCAAAAGTCATATATCACATTTAAATTCATCTTTTTCTTTGGATGAAATTCTAGGCTGTCTCTTACAGTATTTTTTCAGGGACATTTGGTTTTGCTTAATTAATCAATTTTGATCTGATAGGCTATTTCTATTTTGTTTTTAATTTATGCATGTATATAACTCTTCTACTTTAATTTTACTTATATTCAATATTTATTCCTTTGTTCTGTTCAAGTACGATTTTCTCTTTTTATTTGGGTTGGTAATGGTTGGGAATAGGAGTCTTAGAAATTCATGGATGTCTTTTAGGTTATTGGACTTTTGCTTGGACTTGGTCTTTGAGCTCTGTAAGTATTCCAAACAGCAAACCTGCCTTTGTATGACAGTATCCTTGACTAAGGGACAGTTCGCTAAAATTTCAAAGACACAAGTTCCTGACCTGATACAGGTCAGCACAAAGCCACAACTCAAGTTGTATATGTAGGTGTTTCATGCACCTCCTTTGTGCTATAGAATCACAATTTCTTCCAAAACAAGCCACAGAATAAGCACTCATCCCTGCTGTAGGATTTATGGTGCCCTTAATACCACATCAGGCTGCCTGTGTTTGATGTATTAAATGACCTGCATGATACAGCTGTGGTCACATAAGGAAGTCTTTATAAGTCCCCTCCTTGCATGTAGTTTTGGCAAAAAGATGACTGTTTCATGAGTTAATACCATACACTGCAACCAACTCTCTATTTGTTAAGCATATTAAGCGCATTATTTTGAGTAAAATAGAAACTTTTGAAATTAAAGTATGATATTACTTTGTAACCTGCGATCTTTTAAGCGTATAATAAATAACTTTCAACGAAGTTCTGCTGTCATGTTTCTGTTGCTGTTTCTTGACCATTGGTGTTTGAATTCTAAACCCTCACATTCAGGATCTTGTAAGGTATCAAGTCACATGAGGATGCACATGTTCAATCTTCACATTATTTTGGAAAAGTTATCAAGTCCTCGACTCAAAGCTACTTTTAGTGCAAATAAAGTAAAAGTTTTGCAAAACCAATGTACAACTTAAGATCATATTTCTGTTTATTTACATCAGTTCACACCAATAAATACAAGCCTACTGTCTTACTTTGATAAGTCAACATGGTAAGCATAGATTCACACATTTTATACAGGTTTTCACATGGAGATACACAGCCTTGCACACTTGTGTGTAATATATTTCCATCAGATTCTTCAAAAGCTATATGTGTTTACATCACACTCCAACGGGTATCCAGTTAAGTGTGCAAATAAAGGGATGTAGTTACACCTGCCTCTCTTCAGCTAAACCCTCTGAAACCACCTGTTAGATATGAAGAATCTGGTAGGGTTGCTGTTCATCTGAAGCAAGATAATGTGTAGTTCATTGTGTTACCAAGTCTCAGGAATTCTTTGAAGACTTCTAGGGGGAAGAGTGAGGCTACAAAAGTCTGGATTGTGTATAGTAATTGGATATGGGGGGGTACCCTTCTATATCTTGTGGAGTATATTGATGTTTGTATGAATGCCCGTTAAGTCACTGCTTAACTGCACCCATTTGGCTACCCACCCTGAGGTTCCTACAGACCAATGTTGTAGTTGAGACCCTTTAAGACCTTCAAAAGACCACATAAGACCAACACAAGGACTCCAGTCTGAATCCAAGTCATCAGCTACTCAAATGAACTGCAACGAAATCATTCCTTTGTCATTGTTCACCCTGTTACTTATGACTAATCTTGTGCATGGTCTTGTATCTAATCTTGTGTCTGGTCTTGTGTCTGGTCTTCTGATGGTCTCGACTACAATACTGCCCAAGATGGTACTGTTTATCTGCACACTACATGTACATGCATTTCAAAAGACCATACTGAACTTCCACATCTTGAATGCACAATCTCCTGACACCTCTACATACATGTACATGTACACTAGCAATTACATGTAAATGGAAAACAGACCTTTACAATCTCCTCTCCAACACAGAGGGAGAGGTTTGACTACTCCAGTTAAGTCTACTCATGTATTATCATTGATAACTGCTCCATGTGTGTACATGTACTTGAACTTTGAACTCAAAAGTGCAGACACATTTTTAGCTTGGATTCCTTGGGTCTAAAACCCTCCACCCTGCCATGTACCCACTCACGAGAGTTCAATGCCTGGGACTCGCTCAACTTACTGGGCTTACACAAGGACTTGAAACTGTAACTGTACTGTAATGAATTGCTCATGCCAGGAAAACAGGAAAATGTACACAAATTGCAACAGGCAACTTTCAAAATCTAGAGATTCTACTTGGCAAAATATTTAATAAGTCCTTTTCATATCCATTCCATAACAGGTTTTTATGGAAGCCTACAATCTATGAGAGAAAATACTCTAACACAGGGTTGAAAAGTATTCAGGAATTAAGCAGAAGTGCCCCCCTCTGCCCCACATTGCTCTGTGCCTTCTGGTGGTTGCTTTTCGTAGTTTCCTTTTCTCTGGTGTCTGCACATTTTACACTCATCATCATTACCACTCTCGTCACTTGATGAACTCTCTCCAAACATGCGTGGCTTCTCATATATGCAACAACCTGAAAATTTACAAATACACAATACATGTTACAAATAGTCAAATACAATGAATGACCCAATCTTACAAAAGGAGTACAGATATCAAGTTAATATTTTCTGAATGAGTCAGTTGTGAATAAGAATGAATTATCAGACTCCCCCATATTCAATTTGCAATGTCAATAATCATAAGACTTGTAAGATAATGGTTCTTGTTATGTCCGTTAACTTACAATGTAATGAATTCAACCAAAGTTATGTTTTGTAAATAGATTACTTTCAGATGAATAAGGAAGAACGCAATAAACTGAAAACTTTGAAAATATTTAGCTATTTCACAAAAATTCCCTTTACACATTTGCAGAAACCAAGGACTTTGAGTAGTAAGTGTCTCCATATTGTTCCCAACTTTTTTCTTATGTCAGCTTCAGGGACTAGGGTTAACCAAAGTCGGGGCATGTTTTGCAGCCCCTAACCAGAAATGTGTTTGAGGCATCAAAGCAACAGCCAGGACCATGTCTAAAGAAGCCCACTAAACGAACAACCAGAAATGGTTACGCCATCAAACAGAGACAAAGTACAAGGAGCAGACAACCTTATTAATGAACGTCATTATCCCTCAATATTCAGCATGTTTTTTTTTACCAGTACTGCTCTCTCCTTTCACATTCTAGAAGAATGTACCTCTTTTGGTTCACTGCATGTAACCAAATTCTTTGGAATGAATAATTCACTTATTTGGAAGGAGCAAAAAGATTGGCTGCTTATTTTCCACCATATTGAACTGGCACTGAACCAAATCTAATTTTCTGTTCTCATTTGGTCAACTATGAAACCATACTGACATACCCAAAGTCAACAAACTGCCTGACTACATTTGTAATGAATGACCACAGCAGAAATGTGATTCTGGTCAGGGTTTCACCATGGTTACCAAAATATGACCCTGTGTATGTGTACTTACATTTTGATTTCTTTTTGCCCATGTGCTCATTATCTATGACGCCATTTTTCCAGTTGACTTTCTTGTGTGACTTTGGTTTTCTCAGTTTCAATGTTACTGATGGCTGTGGAGAGGTGGAAATAACCACTTCATTAATAATCAGCTGTACTATAGGCCGGCTTGTAAAAATTATTGGAAGTTAACTTGATTAGCATAGCTGGGGACATAAATGAGTGAGGGCACTGTTCCTTTGGGACTCATTTTCTTAAATGGAAATTGTAATTAAAAGTTGCCATTTTCCAGAAGTTCCAGCTCCTCTATCTAATTTCAAATTTTTTGAAATTTTAAGTGAAGCCACGCCGTTGAAATCACGCACAAATAAGAACAAAGATTGTATGAAAATATGTATTTTAAGCTTTTCAGTCAAAATCCACACTCATTTTTGTGTACCAAAAAATCACAGTTTGCTCTGCATTGCACATTTACAAAAAGTTCCAAACCATTTCAAAATATCCCTACTTTCAATCAATTTTTCTTTGCTTTGCAAGGACCGATTGAAACCAAACCTATCAAAATGTTTCTTACGACATTCTCTCCAAGATCACATCAAAGAACATATAAAAAATATGTTGAAAAATTTATGAGCCTCCCTAGCAGAGCCACCACACATGTAAATATACATACATGTACCATATGGCCACAGTTTACAAACACCTCACTTTAAAAGGCCTACTGTATTATTCTATAGCCCTCTATAAGTTGTAGTTCAACAAAACTTGAACAAGTGGTAGTCTGGTAGGCCTGGTTCCCAGACAACTCATCCGTTGGGACAACTTGACTGTTAAGACAACTTGACCATTAAGACAACTCAACCGTTGGACAACTCTGCCGTTACGACAAGTCATCCGTCAAGCAAGTCGACTTTGACCCAGAGACAACTCAACCGCAGGAGGAGTGTACATGATGTATGTGGCAACCGCACGCAGATGTTTAGCTATAACCTAGCACCACCAACTGCTGGGTGATGTGTTTGTGCAAAATTGCACGCATTGCAAGCAAAGGCCTCAGGGCATGGCACACACTGGAATGGTTTCATGACTAAATGCGATGGATGGTGAACACACGGCCATGGCTGGTAAAGGAAAAAGGTGGCCAGCTGTATCCCACACGCACCACAGTGCCATGGAAATATACTGGTGATCCTCGATTGTGAACAGGTGAAGTCAAATTTCATGGAAGTTACTGTGTTGAGGACTGGGAAATGTATTTATTTCGAGTTGTCCTGAGTTGAGTTTTCCCAACGGACGAGTTGTCTGGCATGTCTGGACGGGCCCGTAGGCTCACGACATAATTTTTTACCGTACCACATGGACATAAACATGTTCAAATCGAACGAAACATTAACGAAGCAACTAGCTAACACTAGCAGTGACTGGCACTGGTAACACTAGTTAGGCGTAAATAAAAAAAGGCGAGACATTACCGATCTTGGCGTCTCTGTTCGAGTCGAAGTCACCGTCGGAGTTCGCAAAGTGTGTGTAGATGACATCGTAACCAAAGTAATTATCAATTTAATTTATTTAGTTAAAAAACCAGTCATTTTTAATGTAGGCCAAGACTTAAACCATGTAAACGTGACTCAGGATTTATTCTTACCCCAGGCCAAGTTTACGTGCTTCTCGACATGTTCGTGTTTAACATTGAGTAACTGGTAATCGGCACAGCTGATCAGTCATGTCAGTCGTTACGTCTCTAGCGTAGGCGCGGCTAGGCCTAAGTGATTACCAACGTAAAGTCCCACAATGCACTTCTTCTACCAAGATGGCAGCCTCCATGGGAGAGAAACTGATGTGCAGCGATTTGCATGGATATTTGCAGACTCTTCCTTCGTCTGTTCTCGACAGATTATACAATCATCCAGCGACTTGTTTAGCTGTGTTCAGGTAAACGATTTTAATGATGGATTCGGGCCTATATTATTGTTTTTTTGCTGAGACTTAACGTCATCATCGTTTACCCCCAGACTAGTGCGGTACGGACTCTCACTCCCGCTCCATCCTTAGCCCCACATCCGTATACGTAATTTTGTGTCGTCGTACTGAACATTTTCGGCGCACCCACCTATCATCGTGGGCGAAATTTCTTTTACACACAGAGATGATCCTGAGCCTCTCTGCTTTTTTAGCACCATTTACTGAATGATTTTACTCACGTTGTTCTGGTATTTTTCAGTCTTTTTTCCTTCACCCATTCAATCTCACAGGCTCGCTCTCACAGTCACCATCTTTAAAGTAAGATTGTTGAACATTACGTCACTTGACCTCTCATCATCTCGATGGCTATTCCATGTCAAGATATATCTAATACACGGACTGAGCGATAAGATACTACATGTACCAATGGGCTTTTCCAAAACTTTGGCAACAGAGAGGCAAGAGACAAACCATGACAAACAATACTAGCCTCAGTTTCTGTAATAACTGACTGTTGCATGGTCATACAAGGTCAACCATCAACTGTAGGAATGAAAACATATTTTCTAGGTCAAGGGCCAATCTGGCATGTCTTGAAAACTGAAAACTTGACTCAGTTTGTGATCAGTATTTGAAGTGCTCTCAGTTGGTTTGCGTCTTTCTTATTTACAAGTACAAGGTCTAATGTCTTGTTTAATCATTTCAGAGAGCTGCCAACACTTGCCAAGCATTATGTGACCAGAGTGCTTTTTGTTGATCAGCCAGTGCTCAAAACATCAGTGGAGTCTTGGGTACAAAAATCGCATCTAATGTAAGAGTTAAACTTTATACTAACCTTTTTGAAAGCTCTTTCCGGGCAACAGTTTAGTTGTTCACTTATGTCAACATCCAAACATTTAACCACTTCGGGCCGGGGCATTTTTCAATGTTGAGGATGCTGGGCCGGCATGACTATCATTTTTTCCGTTT